GTGCTGACAAGGACCAGGCACTTGCAGGCAGGACCACACTGCGTCTTCTAGAGAGCCTGGTTCGCCTAACACAGGCTCACGCCAGACTGATGGCCCGTCATTCTACTGTTGTTGAGGTAAATTTTCTCCTTTTGCGTGTGCGGAACAGCCGTGTAATGCATGGAGGCCCTGTGCTTCAAACTGATAGACACTACGGCCACCTTTTGAACAATGATTTAATCCGCCAGTATGTACGCAAGTTATAGGAAGATGGTGATAGAGAGTAAGGAGGGAGTATGCATGACTGCGACTTTTACGACACCATAGAATTCGCGAACTACTTCGTCGTCAATACCGACCGTTTATCTGCACGTCCCTTACGCTTACAATGGTCTTTACTTGAAACTCTGTGCCGTCGTATTTTCGTTAGTGGTATTGGGTGCTTCCCGGCTATTTGGCATCTGTAAGCATTATCATAAACTTTCTGTTTCATTCTGCATTATTGGCACTGTTGTTGGTTTAGGATGCGGCACGGAGTTTTTTTGGCTTTGTTTTAACCGGGCTGTAGTTGATCTTTTGGGGCTGTTCTGTTACTTAGTCTACCCTGTTCACGGTGGTACGAGTCTCACCGGCTCGTCATCATTCCGGCTTCCGGGATGCACATCGTCAGCAGCACATCCATTCGGTTTTATTTTGTTGGTGAGACCCCAATTTCATTCATTTGCCGCCTTTCCTATGTGTAGAACTGCCAAAAACTTAGATTAACCGATTTTGTCTTGCAGTTCCTGTGGTTGTTCTCGGCTTCACTCTTTGAGCTTTGTACAAGCTGATATCTTTTTCTAGTCGAGTGAGGACCTCGAAGTCGGTTCGATAGCAGTTAACGAATCGGAAACTTCTATTCCCTCACTGTCATCTCCGGAATTCACGTACTTCACGCGGCTTCAAGCACAACTGTCGCGCGTTTTGCTTCCACATTCTGTTGATCTGCAACAACGAATATGACAAGTTCGCTCTGAGATCTTCTCTAACCACAGACAAGGTTGATGGACCATTTCAACAAACGCGCGACCGCCGCTCCTGTGCGATGTGACTACATCTGACATTACACAATAAAAGAGTGTGGGCCCAAAATCCTCCAGTAATCTTCCTCGGCAGACATGAGTCGTCGACACAGTGCGGCCAGAATAAATGCAGAGCATACTCTGGGAACGAAGTATGAATCTGAAGTGACCAGTTGATGCCGAGTTTTAAATGAACCTTCTACACACATAGCATACCGTTCACAGCTTCTCAGCCTGGAGCCCGTGAATGCCATAGGATGGAGACTTCAAGTAAACAGACTTACAAATATGGAATAGCATTCTAGGAAGGAGAGGACTGTTCGTACGAATGCGTTATAAAACGAATGCACTCTGTCCTTGTCAGTAATGCTAACGTCTGCTTTCTCATGAATCAAGTTGGTCCTTTTTTTTCTTTGAAGGATTCGGTGGTGGCCGTATGGCTTATGGAGTGCTCCTTCCAATCCATATTCGGCCCCTGCGCGTCCAGTATCATATTTGATGGTGGAGCGGTTGGCCCAGAGGATGTGGTAAGGTGCGATGGCATGAACTACAGTTTTGAAGAAGTGAAGCGCGTCATACTTTTGAAGTTAGATTTATCTGAAAAAGACCTGGGATGCAGCGCTGATGATGCCGGAGGGGAGAGCGTCGTGACCGGACCGCCTGAAGATTTCGAAATCAGCACCACTGTCTCTTTACTTGATACTTCATTGGACGATGCCATCTCCCGTCCACCCGTCTTCTCATCCACCCAGCTTCTCGACTTGACAACCATCAATTTCTCACCCGTACCGCTGTCACCTCAGGCGGCTACTTCCACTACCCCACTATGCAAAGAGTCTCTTAAGGCATCAACCGGAGACACTACTGACACTGGGGTCGCTGTTTCGGCCGCCGACTTTGATCTCGGGAACTTACTGCCTTCGTTTTTGGACGATATTGAAAGTGACATGTTTTCGAACTCCACAAACATAGCCAAAGATACGGCTCCCAGGTCTGTCAAAAACACTTCCTATCCACATTTTCGGACCACACTGAATAACACGAAATTCGACCGGGTTAGTATGTGTGGACTAGCAGAAGCTCCCCATTCTCAGTCCGGCCCCAGCGTACACACCCACCTTTCCCCCAACTCTAGCCCGGCCACCACCTACAATGACACTGAGGAAAGAACCCGCAGGCGCTTGGATGCCCCACCTTCCTATCCCGGAGGCTCCATTGTACCAAACCGGCAACTGCCATCCTCGCCAGAGCAACTGGCCTTGACCGAAATCACTGCGGTTGTCAGCAGTGACCGACCAGATAGCCGAATAAGTGAGGATTCCCTTCTGACACGACCTGTTCCACGAAGAGCCGGGGAGGACCGAATCCTATCTGAGAGAGTACATCGCAAACTCTCGAGCTTTCATTTCCAGCCTAAAGAAGATGATCGTCTCCTACCACCCAAAACGTCGCGCACTGAACAGTCCGATGTGCCGTCGACAGCAGACCCACATTTGGAATTAGGAGATCCGATGGACGATGACAGGGCTTCCGGACCCCTACATCTTTCTAAGGAAGACAGTGAGATAAACGCTGCTTCGGCACTGACCTCGAAGCACCAGTCGCTGATACGAACATCTGCCGGCTTTGGCAAATTGCTGCCCGATGAATGGTCACTCTCGAACATAAACTTTGACATCGACTTTTGATATATTTCACAAATCTTATGCATTTTGTCTGCGTTGCAGACTTTTTTGATCTTCTGTTACACACTTCGTTTTTACATTATTTTTTTACTACTGAAATTCCGACTCTCGTCCCCGCACTCACCTATTCCGGTTTGGCTTTTTGGACACATGTTATAGTCGTGGGATGTCCTTATGGTTTGCCTTACGGAAGATTTTACAGCTGGTGTTCGTTTAAGCGGTTATTTCTTAACAGTGTCACATAAATTCACCATTAACAAATCTAGTGTCTGCCTACTCATGCCAACGCTCGTGATTTCGGGGCGCTCATTAGTAAGGAGGTCCTCCAAACTTCGCATTTGCATCAGGCGAATCAGTAAATTTAATGAGGTTGACTTAGCTTGTTTTCAGGGAAAAACGGCCATGCCTGGTGGCGAAATTGTGCCGACTTATGACGCTTCCGCAAACGATGCGGCGTGTAAGTTGTATCACTGGAAAATAACAACCCCGCTTAGCAGAACGGTGTTGAACACGGGTATAGGTACCCCCTGAGCTACAGGTGGTTTTGGGCCAAATGTCATGCGGAGTATATACTGCCGTGTCCTAACTTAAAACCTGACGGTAGCCCCCATATCCCTAATCCTTATTCCGCCGGTATTTAGCGTAAGACCACCTGCAGTGTTGGATGTCCATAATCCCGTGACCTTGCCAGAACCGGTTTATAGACGACGCCGGAGGAGGGGTGAGCAGCAGCATAAAATTGTCGTAGTGACAAGACCTCAGCTTCAGCTTACTGAACGGAAAGACGCAGTCATAAAGGCGACACCAGAATTCCCGGAATTACAGTGATGCCTAGGAAGCAGACCGGGTTCGTGGCTTCACGAACGACAGGGTGCTCTTTTTTCAGCATCTATCTCAAAAGAAACAGAGTGGGGAAGATTGATTAACGCGGGGAACGTTGACTGTTAATCCATTCGGAGCAAGAACGAAAACAATGTCAGAAGTGAATCGTGGAAGAGGTTTTGGTCTATGTCGAATACCACTTATGATGCCCACCTAGTCTACTACAGCATACAGCAGGCGGCTCCTTTAAGGTTTAATTTCTATTTTCTCGAGCGGCGTATACATCGTTTGGCACGACACTTTCATTCGCATCAAGAAATTGTCAAACTTCGTGGGCGATCAGCGCCTAGGAGTTCGAGTAAAAAGTACGTGGCTAGTGATCGTCGCTAGGATCCTCTCGTCTAATTTTTCAAACCTGTACATCCGCTCTCTCGACTCAGTCTACTGCTGTATAACGTCCAATGCAACATCTTGGACGGGGTTCCAAGATCACACCTCTCAAGCCTTCCACGAGGGGTTTTACGGTTGCGTCTGTCGTCACTCTCCTGTCGGTATTCGCACAGTCGGAACGTGCTGATTTCGATACCTCTCACTCCATGCAAAGCCTAGAAGGAGGACGACTGACCAGCTTCTGGCGATAATGCCGCGTTCATCTAAAGCCGAGCACTTTTCCGTCTTCTGCAGTAACAACGGATCCCCACCAAAGCTCCTATTTACGCGCGTTCTCGACTTCTTTGGACCAGCGCCGTGTGTCCACCACCGGTGTTTTCTACCCGATACTTGTCCGTCTTCTTAGCTAAGGTCAATTCTGGACACATAGCTAGACACCGTGCTTTATTTGCTGGCTACATGGATGTCGGCTTTTCGTATTGTTCCCAAGGCAAGTTAGGATGACTGGGGGTCAGCTAAAGACCACCGGGAGCAAAAATGCCACAATTATCGATCACTAATGCATGCCTCTCATTGAGCTCAGTTTGGGTCTCAGTTCAACACACCATCTCGAAAACCGACTTAGAAGTGACGGCGATGAATGACTGTGCAGCCATATTGGCGGAGAAACAAAGATACCTGCAATACGGAAAGGGTGATCATAGGAATTTTAGGGGTGGAGCCCACGGATGCGACTGTTAAAGAGGAGGAAGAGGGTTAGAAGGGTAGCCAAGGCGACCAAAAGCACAGTGGTTGTTTACGTGAGCAAGTACTTCGAGAGATCGCTGGTGCCAAGTGTAAAGCGGAAAATTTGACGGGAAATCCGTGAAAATCGCAGTAATTGGCCGAAAATGTAGGAAACCACATTCTAGAATGAAGAAGCCAATCAAGAGTGTGGGGGGCACTGTCAAGGACAATCTGCAAGGTGTGCGCTATAATGCGACTAAATGTGGGAATAAACGTGGAAACTGCAGCAAAAACCCATAGTCGAACGGATAACGAGTAAGAAACGCTCTTTTTTGACGAAAACGCCACTTTTCGGCAACCGTTGGCTGTTAATTTGCTAAATAAGTGGGTGTAAGAAAAGCCCAAGTAAATTGCAGGTGTCTTTACTCTAACCACTTCCACATTAAGCAAAAACAAACCACGCAGACGAATAGGCTCTGAAGTGGATAGACAGGCGCTATTGAACGAAACAGAGCAGACAGCCAACTCGCCCCGGCCAGTTCAACACTGCCAGTTAAAGAAGCTGCTGTCGTGGAAGTTAAAATGCCAATTCCCACGTCCAATAAAGCAAGAAGTACTATGTAAGCACACGGACGGCCATGTGTTTAGATGCGTAAGCGTACGAAAGCACTAAAAACAATATCGATATTCGAGAAAAGCGGGTTAACGTTGCGTAAATTTATGAAAAGTTGTCTGACCTTCTTAGACGGCAAGCGGTGAACAGGTGTGCTGCTTCAGACGGTATAAACCTCACAACAGCAGTAGAGTGGTACCGCATTTGGTGCGACGTCTGCAAGAAGGCACTCGTGAAGGAAGTAGAACAGATAGGTGGCCCTGGCATTGAAGTTCATATAGATTAAATGATGACCAGCAGCCGAAAATACAATGTAGGAAGGAATAAAACAATTATCTTTGGAAAGTGGGTACATATGTATGACGCGGTGTGAAGGGGAGTTCACTTCGACCAGAAGTTGGCCTTTCCTTGAAGGCGGTGATTAAAAATGGGTGGCGGTAGAAAGCGTAGTGGTGACCGGAGAAACCAAGTGAAATAGGTTGAGGTATGCTCGTCGTCATGCCGAGCTTCACTAAAATTGGCAATGTCGTAAATGCGAAAAGAACAGTCAGGACACCACAGCTACGCGCGTATGACCAAGAAACTAACCAATATCTAATTCCGCATGCGTAACGCAAGGGGCTGCGATGTAACTAGCCCTGAGAGGGCTGAAAGGAACGGAAAACAGGTGGTACGATAGCGTACACTGCTTATTCCCCAGCAGTATAAATATCGAGTGCATTAAGAGGAAGCCCACCAATGGAGTGCAAGTGTACATAATAAAAAGATAAAAGGAAAGAACGCCAATTAGCACGATGCATCAAGTGGAGAGAAGGAGAGGGCAGAAAGATAAGTAGGATAGCGCCCAGATCACTGGACGTAAGTTAAAGGTATAAACAAGACCTTCTCTTCAACGTAGCGTAGGAAACGGTAGTTCTCTACTTCAAGGAAGACCGTTAGATACTACTAGGTCCAAAATAGTCGGTATGTTTGCCTGAGCCAGACAAGCTGCCTGTAATATTCACGATGACGAAAACGCGTGGCATTTCCCCATCATGTATTCAGTTGCCACTCTAATCGAACTAAGTAGATTAATTGTAACTTAAAACAGCAAGAGTCAAGGAGGGAGGAGAACTTGACAGGAAGGATAGATCGGAAACCACGGGGAGGTAACGGGGGCAACCTAGCGATCGGATAAATGTCCACGGAACTGTAAGCAGACGCCTAGTATACGGAAATCGGCACTGCAACCGGTAAGGGTAAGGGCAGACAATGAACGGAAGACCGGTGGTCCTAACACTGACCCCGACCACGTGCTTCTTGTGAAATGAAGCTCCTGGAAGAGGCACAGCAAAAACCTAAGGCGTCCTATGCATACATCAGAAACAATACAAAAAACCATGGTCATCTCGCAACCTTAAGGAACAAAAAAGTCAAATTTTGAGCTATGAATTTCAAAAAGCCGAGCTTCTTTCAGAATTTTTCCAGAGTGTCTAAGCCACGGAACCACCTCTCCGGTCCTCTATTCTGCCACAGCTCGTGAACCAGCCAATTACACACACAGTATTATTTACACCGCAGCTAGTTTTGACAGAGTTAAATAAGTTATATCCGGCCAAGTCACCCTGACCAAATGAGATCCCAGGTGTACTCCCACGTCAAGTAGTTGAAGAGTTAACAAAACCACTGTGTGTAATCTTCCAAAATCGTTCGAAACTGGTAAACCACCTTGAAACATGGAATTTGACGAACGTCTTACCCATCCGCATGGGAGGATCACGAATACAGCCCATCAAATACCTGCCGGTAATTCTGACATGTATTTCCTGTAAGCTTATGGAAAGGATAGGAGTTTGATTGCGTTGCACATAAACGCCTCCTTAAAAAGTTGTCAGCGTAGGGAGAAGAAGAAATCTTCTGAACTGGATTCAAGATTCCTTAAACGGTCCTAAACAAATATTACTGCGGGTGGCTACCACTCAGGTTGGGCGTCCACTAAGAGTGGAGTCCCGCAAGGATCAGTTCTTTGGCTGATTCTATTCATTATCTATGTAAATGACTTAGCACAGGAAGTGAAATCCGACATAGCGCTCGTTGCCGATGATCTTAAACTGTGGAGGGTGATAAAAGATGAAATAGACGCCAAGATACTACAAGAGGACATAGAGAGTTTGCACGCATGGGGCGAGAAATGGTGCATGAAATTCGACGTCAAAAAGTGTATGGTAATGCACATAGTATCAGCAAGGCGAAGAATAAATACACTCTCACGACAGTATCTTCTGAACGATCAATCACTTGGACCCGTAGATGTGCAAAAAGACTTCGGCATATTTGCTAGCGTCACCCCGCAGTAATCTAAAATCGGAGCTTTGGGAAATGTCAATTATGAGCGCAATAGAAAGAACGTTTATTAACTTGAATGTATATATCTTTGACGAGGTAAATAAGGCATTCGTGTGGCCGCACCTGGATTATGCAGCACAAGCTTGGCGGCCGTGGCTTCGGAAGGGTATACATATCCTTAAAAGTGTACAGCGACGTGCCAAAAAGGCTGTTCATAAACTCAAAAATTTACGTACGAGTAGTGCCTGATAGCCATGAATCGCTATCCCCCCATACAGGCAGGACAGAGGTGATCTGGTAGCAATGCTTCAGTTAATTGGAGGACTTTATCTGGATGTCAACTGGGAAAATCTTTTTGAAACGGCACCAAAGACTAATCTCAGACGACACGACTACCAGATAAAAAGGGGCTGCGCCACGCAAATCAACGCTCCTCCTTTTTCTAGCAGGGTCATTCGCCAATGGAATTCTTTGCCGATGTACGTCGCTAATTCCCCGACCGTGAGTGTGATCAGGGGACATCTGGATAATCGCCTATTAAAAGATAACCTGAATTCCCCAAGCCCGAGCCAGCGGATTACTGAAACGATCAACATGCTAATAATATGAAGTAAACTGACCCTTTTGTGTACATTAACCTTGATCCAGATGAAAAATTTTAACACTGCGAATGCAGTGGACGACTTTATTCGCCGTTATTTAGCAAATGCCACATCACGATAGTCGCTGTGATCGAATCTTCCCGTCGTCAACACCAGATGCAGTGCGAAGAATCGCAAGAATTGTTTTTCTATTGCAGCCGGTCGGCCCTGCAGTGGGATTTAGACTGATGTGCCATTAAAATTGCGTTTTGATCGACTACTAACCTCCCCCTCGCAACATTCCCAAGACTTATTGCAGTCATCGGAAATTTACGAGTGTGCCTTTTCCAGTTCCATCATGACTTCCGTCACCCCATTCCTGGGTTAGAAGGGTGACAGGCAATAATACATTTGGCGGAGTACACGGTTCGCTGAAGACGTGACACAACGACCTGCTTTGTGCTGTCATCCGGAACGCCGTTTTCGCAATCTGCGCCATGCTAGGAAAGGGATGCGGGCTGACATGATCGCCGCCCCAAGAGGCTGACATCGTTCCTCGACTGTGGCACACTTGCTATTTCATCGTTCTTCGAGCCACATTATTCTAAATTATGTCCGCAGAGTCCATGTCCTGATCGAAAGTTACTTCGTGGAGTTGGATCTCGTTCACTTTAAGCATAGTCCCATACAAAATTACCCTACCAGAGGGAGGTATACTAGCAGTTGCATTCAATTATATCAAGCAAGCTCCTATGTCATTGTCAAAATGCACAAATCTGCCGACAGCCTGAATTGATAGCCTGCTCCGTTTGAGTCTAGCACGTCTTCCAAAGTCTTGAAAATTCCGACAGCGGGTCGCGTGCTCCAATGGCGGAATCCTTCCAACACCCTGCTCATTGAGGCTGTGCTCAAATATGTAGCAACCAGTCACCTCGGAGGTCCACGGCAAAGATCAGAGGTTCCCGTATCGATAACGACGGTGCCCAGATAAAAGTTGGTAGTTTTCTTCCGAAATACAAAGCGCGGTGCCGATAGACGAGTATTAACGTAAAATAATTCCCCGTGTATCGTGAGGACTATAAACTATCTTTCGAAGTCCAGCGGGAGTGAAACTTTAGGGTTCGTTTACCTGTGGGCAAGATGATAATAGACAAGCTATATGTGGCTTTCGCTTGTCTTCGACTGCAAGTTTGTTTGATTTAAAAACTTGTGAGAACGCGATGTCTCTCGCTCATTAAGCCAAACAGGACAAAGTCGGGCAAGTCTCACTTGTACGAATGTCATGCGAGGCGGTTTGTCGGGGTTATACCAGGACCAAATTAGTCATTGTCTTCTCTTTAAAGCGGCAATCTTGCGAGAAACCACTTTTGGCGGAGAGTCGGTGAACTCTCGGACAAATGATACGTGGGGAGAGGCAAGTATATTAACCGATGAACGTTCTTGTCCTAGTAACAATAAAACGGGAGGAGTCGAGGGCTTTACACCGAGTTTGAACGGGACAATTGCACTAGTGGACAGCGAACGATGCGGATATGCCACTTCAGCAGTAATATGGAAGTGAACACAAGAGAAGAAAATATAAAAAAGCAAGAAATGGACAACGTGGACATAACAGTTCGCATTGTGAAGCATGATAAGTGGTAAGCGATAAAGGACAAACATTACCAATAGCGTCGCTGTAAGTGAAACTATAGTCTTTATGTATGGTAGTACGTCCGCCTGGAGAGGCTTGGAGGGTTACTACCGGATGGACAGGGAGAGGACAGACAGTTTGGAAGAGGGAGGGCCGCAACGTAAGTCGTAGACCTCGGCCTCAGAACACCCCTAAATGGGGTCATGAACAAAGAGGGGAAAGTCATTGGGAACCTCAACAAGGGGCACGTGCTGAGACGGAATCTCATCAAAGACGTTGGCTCTGCAGTCACACATATGCATTTCCTTAAGTTTTACCTCCCAGTCTAACTTCTGAACCATCATTAGCGATTCGGCTTCGTGCAGCTGGCGACACAAAAGTCTCCTCTAAAAAGAAAAAAGGGAGAAAGAGGGTGAGGAAATATGGTCGACCGGTTTACACTAGACACATCGCTGACACGTCTCCAACCGCTGAAACCACTAAGATGAGGCTTGTGCACACTATTACAGGGAGATAATCTATCGCGCTGGTTGAAAAAGCCATCGCGCGAGCAAGATCAACCTTTTCTAACCACGGATGCAAAAACATCGCATCCTCCAGTGCCAATATTTTTCAACTTCCAAGTATTGAAAGCGTGCTCTAGGAGTGAAGTGTTAAGGAGTGGGTGCCAACAGGGTGGCGACACTTCGCTGGCCGTCACATTCAAAACGAACGCTGGCCTCGAAACAGAAAAGAAAACTGATGGTGCCGAAATTAAAGAAACATTCCGTACTAGTACCCACACCTCATGTTTAGGTGCCTGAGTAGGATTAACTTATGTACATGCGTGTTTGTGTGTCATGTGCCCAATAACCTAAAGGGAATGCACGTAATTTGGAATGCTAGCGCAGCATTGCAAGTGGTTAACAGCGCATAAGGGTCTGGTAAACAGCACCTTGGTCAGAACTTCTCCAATCCAAATGCTTAACACTTAGTTGAGCAGTTCAGGGTACGCTAGTGATACAAAACGGTCATGAAAGTGTACGGTTTGCATGCAGACGGGCAGTGAAGGTGGAGGGGCAGTTGGAGGACGGAGCAAGCTTGGTTCAAACTAAATCGGCACCGCGAATGCCTAAAGACTGCCATCTAACCTTTTCCTTCTGGAAGTTGTCCTTGATGTCCTGCAGCCAGCCAATCAGAATTCTAGCGTTGAAACGGTCTCGGACACTTTCTTCGTCCTAAAGCATTGCATTTAGAAAAGGATGAAGAAAGGTAACAGTATATGTGAAGGGAACTTATCAGTCTTTGTGTAAAAATTCTGATATTGTACACAGTGAGTGACCGATCTCATGAAATGTTGGCCGAAATTCCGAAATGCGTTTTCGATAAGGAAGGATTACTTAGGTGAGGCTGTAAAACTGATCATCATGCAACATAGTCGTATACTATTTCGGGCTTATCGAGATGTCGGCTCTTAAATGCACTTCTTTTCGACCTGTAGAAGTCACACTGGGTAAAAATGGCCACTTAAGTTGCATGCATTTTTCACATTGATTTTCGATGGTCTTATAAATTTAAACACATTTTGTAGAAAAAATGCACAAAATATGTTTAATTTTACTCGTTTGATAGAAAGTCACGTTGTCTTATCATCTTATACCCGAAGAAAGCTGATATTTCGGTTTTAAAACAGTTTCAGTGGCGATAGGGTGTAGGACCCCTGAGCAGATGGCAACTCCGAAAATATACCCTGAAATTCAGTGTGACTGTAAACATCGCTTACATTGTTTTAAACTTCCTTCCCTTCCGGACTAAACGTAAACTTACAGGCGGCGATTTATTCAGTTTCTGTTATTTTTTGAAAATTGCTTTTTATTTATTTTTTTAATTATCGCGCCCAATTTCTTTGCCAAATGACAGCGTACGACAAGACTTTTGGCAGGAATTTATCTACTTTCTGTCTTCTTGCTCTCGGCCCCGTATGCTGTCCCACCAGTAAAATCCCCTCTACCACTATTTAACGTATGGCACGGTCCACAGGCTAGCTCAAGTTAGTTGGGGATCCTACACTATCGTCGCCAAAGTTTCTAATCATGGGGTTTTTTGTGACCGTGCAGTGTCTATTCATACAGCATTGTAACTGTCCGTTTATCAATGTTTCTCATGAAATGTACAACATAGTCCGCGTTCATTTCAAATTCTATAAACTCTATATGGTATCTTCTTAAAGGCCTAGAGAAATATATGATTCACCTACCGCGGAAAGCATGTACCTTGTAGACTGAAATCGCCAAACGCCAATGGAATGGCAGATTAGGCTCAAAATTATTTGGGAACAGGAAAACTTTTAAGACCTAAATATACCCTTCCTTCGGGCATAAAATGTGATGACAAAGCGATTTTCTACCATACGAGTAAGATTTATGTCAAGTTATAAGACAATCAAGATTCAATGTGAAAAATGCATGCTATTTAAGCATTCATTTAGAACCAGGTGCGGTTGCAACAGGAGGTCGAAAGGAAGTGCATTCAAAAGCCGACACCCCATTAAGTCCGAAATATTATAGGATTATGCCGCATGATAATCAGTATTACAACGCCACCTAAGTATTCCATCCTAATCAAAAACGCATATCGGAATTGCTGTCAAAATTTCATGAGATCGGTCACTCACTGCAGACCAGTTAATACTATTGAGGGTATTCGAGCGCGTGGAGAGTAAAACTCAGAAAAATAAAAAAAATTAGACTAGATGACGCGAGAACGCATGTAGATTGCGGCACAAAACCCATCAGAAATTAAAATTTAACCCATAACGCTAACTTGAATTGGCAGCTTTTCAGTCCTAAACAGATAAACAGGAAACTACCGGTAAGAAGAGCTACACGAAAAAGACGCTTAACACGCGAAACAGGAGGGGTTAAATCGGTTATTTATCCTTATTTGTAAAACAGCAAAATGGCGTATTAACATATCTCCAGTGGAATTAGAATATGCGGTCTATTTTCACGCTGACGCACACACGTATGTGAGATTTTTAACTAAATATGTATTTGTCTCCACATCTTACCGTCTTCATAATCGTGCTTAGGATATTCTGCAAATTATGTAGCGACCCGCACAGTGCTCGCCACTTCCTGTTGAGTAGTGTCTTAATTACATTTACGAGTTTTGCTACCCTCAGAACCTGCTATAGACAACCATTCAGTTAGCCCCTACATTTTGCACCGCGGTAGGATTTAACATCCCAAATTGTAATTTCAGTGTTAAAGACAAATGTAGCTAGTGAGCGTCCCTTCTTTGGAATAAAATCAAAGGGTCAAGATTATTGTAACCGTATGGTGGATTTAGGAAATTTCAGACTTCATTCCATCTGCTCCATTCTCGTCATTGTCATTCAGAAAAGAATCAACGGTCATTATCTATCTGCAAAAGCCGAAACGCAAATGTCCCATTCTGCAGCAGCGCAAACCAGGATCCAGTGTATCCCACCTTCCCTCAAACTGCAGAGTCGGTTGGCGTTTTGCACTCCTCACAAGTATGCGTCAAAATAAAAAAACCTGGCAGGGTCTTACCCGGTGATCAGAACTCTTAAAGGGTGGGAGGTAAGTGAAGCCGTTCAGTGCCATAACTGAACAGAAGGAGAGAGGACGTGGTTGATTAGCCAACGCGATCGTAGCACGAGTTTGGGCCCGCAAGACGGACTGCTCAGCACACAGACGAAGTTGTTCCTAAAAAACAACACATAGCCGGAGAATGAATTTGCTACTCAATGACCACCCATACCTCAGCCAACAATGTTGAGAAAGCTGACAGCATTCAACTCGACTGTGCGCACAACCTCGAGACTGAACCGTAAGTCTTTCTGCAGATTGAGGTTCGAGGACATCCATCAATCATAGGTTTCTATACCAGGAAAAGAATAATCCTCACAGTATCGAGGCTCTGGAACTTTAAGGCAGTTTTTACAAATGTGCGTCCCTCAAACGGTGAAAATTTCCAGTACCAGATAGGAGAATCTTCAATCGCTAATCGGCCACTGCAGCTTTTCACTTAGGCTTTTCTGCAGGCAAATCATCAGGGTTCAAATGACTGGTCTTCAAGTCGTTTCTGACGTACAGCTTGCTGAAGACAGAAATGAACCCGTTGGTCAACCTTTGACTTATTGCGTTTACAACGAATTGTTCAGCGATAGTCCTGACGGGATTTTGGTTTCTTCCGGGAATACCCTCCACCGCCATCTTGTGATAAAATCATTGCTAACGAAAGAGAACGACATTTGAAATCTGTTAGCAAAAGGCCCGATCCTCTGAACTCTTATTTCGAAGTTAATTGTTTAAACGCATTTAAATGTCGAGTGGATTACGCGAGGGAGTTTTAGAATTTCAGGAATCCAGCTTCTAGCATGTTTTTTGTGGGTATAGGATGGCCCAAACGAGTGGACGAGATGCCAACAGTCTATCGTTTTAGCCAGCACGTGGAAGCGCTTTAAACTAGTTAAATTACCGTAGACCCCCAGTACCGAAGTTGTGGATTGTGTGGTACATCGCGATTAAGCGTGAACTTAGATTTGCACATAACAGCACCAATAGGAACCAGGGAGTTAGTTATAAAATACTCAGAGTTGACGTAAAGGCTGGATGAAGACTCCTCCCAGTGCGCCAAGAAATTGGAATGAGGCGAACAGATCTGTTAAGATCTCGTCTCTAAGGAGAGATTATAGGGGAAATGATTTGCTGGATGAGACGTAATCACAGTGGAACATGAATTGCCAGAAGTTAACAGAAGTTCATTAAATAACATGAGAGAGGGCATTTGCGCAAAGGGAGTTCGCACTGGTCTTCTTCTTTGAATTTGGACGGCACAGCATCTGTGAAATCGCGGCGACGTATATAGGTCACATCATTTTAAACATACCATGATAAGTATAAAGCCAGGAATGCGACGTGTAGACGCAACTCCTTCCAAATTTTCACACTGTTTGAACAGTTAGCTCGGCTGGATGTCCAATCTACGGGGAAGTTCGGTGAAAATTACCCAAACCTGTCAGTCAACCCTGTCCAAATTTACGTGAACAATTGGCATACATGTGGAGAGTACTAGCGATGGATGGTGATGCAGGGAATACCAGATCAGCATGCGAAACGCCTGGAACATTTCCGCCCTGTCAGCACTGGTCGAGTTCGGGAAAATATCAAAAATGAAAAACTTGAAAATACGACTGACAAAGATTAGGGGCACAGAAATTGCCATTTCTGGCTGATTAACGACAATTAACTAGTTACAATCCAATTCCGAGTGTTGGCGCATCCGAAGTTAGAATCCGAGTTCAACACTCTTAAAACTTAAAATAACTGTCTCATGACTCGTCGGCTAGGATCAGGAAGGACACTTCTGCATTTTTTTGAATGGCACTTAGGATCAACTAATTTACATTAACATGGACATGTCTGCCCGTCATTGACTGGAAAAACGTCCAATAGGCTGTAATGAAGAGTTATTTAACTAACTGTCTTCCCAGAAAGAAGCACGAGCTTTGAAAGTCTCAAGAACGCTGGCACTAGACTTCTGTAATTGGTGACTACAAAGGGGTGTTCTTTTTGAAAAAGATGAGGTAGGCACGATGACGACCACAAAAAGTACTGACATCTCAGAAGTATGCTCACACTACTAGCTCAGTGGCCAAATCCCAAGCTTTACCAAAAAACATAAGCGAAAGATGATTCAACTGCAAAAAAACTCACGCGTTCTGACTCGTGTTTGAGGGCCTGGGCGTATCGTTCGTCTTCCTGCTCTTCAAATAATTCAGCAAAAGGCCCTTCGATATTTACTGGGCATGGTCGCTAAAAAAATAAAAATGCGGCCTCAGGGTTGAACTTGAGCCTGTTTTATGAAAATGTAGGTTTTATGTGTGAAGTTCGGTGACAAAAGTCAATGAGGTTATTGAGACTGATAGCTGGGCTGGTAGGAAACTGGGCATAACGATTATGACAAACAGGTTCAAGCGAATGCAGGCGACAAATGAGGATAGATTGGTTTTAACTAGAAGTGCCAAACGCATGGTTTGTAAATAAACCCCGTAACGAAGGGTTCTTCCTTCCTCCACCTATATTTCGGTCGGCTGTACTGTGGCCCATTGGAGTGCGAATATTCGTAGTCCTCATGAATAGCCGTTTTTGGAGGTCGGGCACATGGGATAAAGGGCCACAGTTGATGTCGCAGCAAATTTTAAAGATTCAATTTCTCCAAAAGAGCACACGTTGGGGTGAAGGCTTGTTGAATTTTAATCGGTCGCTTCAGTGTTCAAAAGCAACATTCGAGGCTCATTTATATATGATTACCTTGGCAAGATGAGAAGGAATTCGGTCGGTAAGAAGATAGTCGCGAGTCACAAGTAGGTAGTCCTGGTAGCCGGTCGGCTCTTTGGGCTGCAATTCCACAAGCTTGCCAATTAGTTCATTCAACTAGAGGGAGAAAACGAATGGGGAAAATGATGAAACGGATGCCAATAGAAACCAGGGACCAAAACATAACGTGACGTCTGAAAAATCTCCACGTGATGGTCAAATATCTAGCGTCCGATGGCGTGGAGTAATTTGATAACAATCTTGCTCCGTCGGCAGTACAGAGACACTCTACACAGGAGAGCAACATCTATTTGTGTATAAAAGGCTCTTCACCGTAGAACAGTAGTCAAATACGAAAAATATGCGGATTTAGATTCAAAGTTTGTCTGCAAGAGGTATATGCACCATAATCATCGTCGTCGTCGTCGTCATCCTCCTCCTCCTCACCACCACCACCACCACCACCACCACCACCACCACCACCATCATCATCATCATCATCATCATCATCATCATTGCTCGCATACATTGCAGACGCCATCAAATACAATGCGATCTGATATAACTGCAAGCAGGGCGCACAATGGCCATATTAGTGATATCCTTCATTATTACTTTGCATACCCCTTTATTCAGTCCGGCGGCTTTATCATAAGGATTTTCACCCCAAGCCACAGGGCTGGGTTTCAGAGGATCATCGAAAGCCCTTGAGGAGGAAGGTAATGACCGCAACGTCGCGTCGAAGCCGGTCTCGCCAGAGCTGCCTGCAGAGTTTGCTGTACTCTCGTAGCCCTCGTTCTGCTCCGCCTTCGCAGAAATACCGGTGCTGGGGCCGTGATTGTTAGTGTTGTCGAGAGAGGAGCAGGAGTCCGCGCCATGATCGGTCATCGGCAGGTCCGATCCGTTGTCGTCCCGCAGGTCCGACCCATTAGTTGCGAAGGATGCGGCATCCGACTCACCAGTCTTGGAGCGGATTTTGCGTTTCTTTATTGGGGCGTTGTCTGCTATAAGAGTAAAGGAAAAGACATGTCGCCTACACAGCACGCGGTCTGAGAAAGAACTGTGCGATAAAAAACGACATGAGAAGCCCATGACTCACTTTGGCGATCGCGTTCCTCCCGTTCGCGCTGCGCAGCTGTGTGTGATCGGAGGGTCCGACTGCTCCGCGGATTGACCGGCTCTTCGACTTTTATCTGAGAAGCACCAACCAAAAAGTTTAAAATCGGAAATCGAAGTAGAGGGCTTCGAGTAAAATCATGAGATCCATCAGCGGCAGCAACTTAACGCACCTCCGTGTCCGACTGCGTGGGCACTTTTTCTAGTTCAGACTGACTGTCCTCAGCCAGTTTCTGCCCTCTAGAGGCTGTCCTTGTGGGCACTGCGCCCGTACGTCGACGGGAAGATGAGACGCTCGTTTCAGCGTTCTTGGTCACAGGAAATGCAGATACGGCCTCGGAACCTGTGGCGCTGGAAGTGACGACCACAGCCTCAAACTTTTTGCTTTCAGCTGATTCGGAACTGGGCAGTGACAACGGTGCTGGGGAGTCGGGTTTGATGTCTGACTTGACAACGGAATCGGAAACTGGTGCTGAAAGTTCCTCGGTTGAGAGAGAGTCGGGAACCGTGTGCTCACAAGAGCCCATATCTGAGCTTGCACCGGTCGCCAACTTAATCCTCAGCGGTGGCACCTTTTGTGACCGTGAGTCTTGGTCTTCATCGTCGC